CCCAGGCGGGGCCGGCCCGGGCGGCCGGCCCGGCACCGAAACTTAAGCAGGCACCCAAACGTAAGCCGCAACAGCCTAAGGCACCGGACACGGCACCGAGGAAGCACTCGGCACCCAGACCTCATCCAAAACCTAGCGACGCAGCTATTCCTCTCACTCAGGGCGCGTCGGCACCGCACCGACCAACCGCTGGACGTGGAGGAGCCGTCCCCGTCTCCCGTTTTGGCACCGGCTCCGACGACCCTACAGCCTCATGTTTCTAGAGAAGAAGTGCCTCCACCTTCCTCGTCTCCTGTGCCTCGATCACCACGCCTTCCAGGAGAAATCTCCGATGTGGCCTCGCTTGTCTCGATTCCAGGTAGCCCGGACCCCCATACTTCTAGGGCGGTACCGACTAAGGCGCAAAGGAAGACGCATCATCCCCGTACGCCTTCTCCAGGCTCAGATAGGGCAGCCTTCTCCCCGGGACCTTCGATTTCACCACCTCAAAGACGGCGGAGCCACTACCACGAGTACTCTCCTACACGCCGTTTCTATAGATCCCCGAGAAGGTCCATCACACCGCCCCACTATCACCGCTCATACTACTCGAGATCGCCGTATCGTTATTCGTACCGCTCTCGTTCCCCTCGATCACCTACTCGCTCCTGCTACTATCGCCACAGGAGCACGATTTCCTATTCTCCACAGTACTCACATCGTGCGTCTCGCCATCGCTCACCGCATTCTGAGCGTTCACAATCAATCACAAGGCGCTCGCCCTTGTCTCCGGACCGACAACCAATATACTCGCCACCACCAACTACCCAAGGCTCTATTCCACTGGCTCAACGCCCACCAGCGCCTACGGGAGATGCGTCCACGACTTCTGCCCCACAGGACGATACCACTCAGTCACCAGGGGCGGAACACCAGTCCGTGGCCTCCCTGACAGATGTCGCTTCCTCTTCCCCCGACGACGCGGTGTTTAATGACGAACCTCCTCTAGCGGACGATTACAAGCAATTCCATGAGCTTTTTACCCGGGTAGCGGACTCACAAAACCTGCGCACCTCTGGGGCGCCTCCAAAACACCATGCTCTGCTTAGAAATTTGCAACAGTCCAACAAATCGAAGCTGGCTCTTCCTTTCGATGCCGCAATATCTTCTGCCCCACAGGACGATACCACTCAGTCACCAGGGGCGGAACACCAGTCCGTGGCCTCCCTGACAGATGTCGCTTCCTCTTCCCCCGACGACGCGGTGTTTAATGACGAACCTCCTCTAGCGGACGATTACAAGCAATTCCATGAGCTTTTTACCCGGGTAGCGGACTCACAAAACCTACGCACCTCTGGGGCGCCTCCAAAACACCATGCTCTGCTTAGAAATTTGCAACAGTCCAACAAATCGAAGCTGGCTCTTCCTTTCGATGCCGCGATATTGGAGGTAGCTAATGACATCTGGCAAACCCCGGCATCTACGCCTCCTACCAACAAACGCACAGACAGGAAATATTTCATCGACGCCAAGGACGCAGAGTTTCTCTTTACCCATCCTGTCCCAAACTCTATTGTGGTTGATGCAGCCCAGCAAAAGGCGAGATCCGTGCAGGCGAGGAATTCCATCGCGGACAAAGAGGCCAAACGCCTGGATTTGCTAGGCAGAAAGGTGTATTCATCGGCAACAGCCACATTGAGGATGGCAAACTACTCCGCCCATCTTGCCAACCACGACTTCGACAATTATTCGAAGTTAGTGCCGCTGATACAGCATCTCCCACATTCAAAAAGGGAGGTACTGAAAGCCATAGTGCAAGAGGGTTACACAGTGGCCCGTAATGCGCTCCAGATATCTCTCGATATCGCGGACTCAGCTTCCCGCACGACGGCGACGTCGATCGTCAAGCGACGAGACTCTTGGCTCCACCTGGCTTCGGTGCCAAAGGATCTACACCCTGAGGTGGAGGACCTCCCCTTCGACCGAGCATCCCTGTTCACCCAAAACACGGACCAAGGGTTTCACTCAGGAAAAGACTCTAGGAATACGTTAAGAACGCTAGGAATGTACATCCCACCCTTCAGGCGCAGGAGAGCTTGGCCGTAGAGCAGGCAGAGGCCTCCTCCTTACTCGGCTTCTTATTATCCCAATCAACGATTTAGACCATACGAGCAACATAGACAGAGGCAGCGCCCCCAACGTCGCCGCCAGCAATCTAACAAGACCAACAACCAACAACAATCTAGGCAACAAGTTTGACGGACTGATCGAGAGTCTGCGGACCATCCCCCAACTAGAACCCAATGCGCGAGTAACCAAACTCTTCAGCCGCCGTCTGTACCCCTACTCCCTTCGTTGGTTTGCCATCACCACGGACCGCTGGGTCAGGGAGATCGTAACCTCGGGACTCACCATTCCGTTCTCCACTTTACCTCCCACCAACCCTCCCTCCCCGCCCCTTTTCAGGGACCCCTCTCACGAATCTCTGTTACGACAGGAGGTCGTACATCTACTTACCATAGGTGCGGTGGAAATAGTTCCTCCCGAATTCCAACGCAGGGGTTTCTATTCCCGATACTTCCTCACAGAGAAGAAGTCGGGGGGATGGAGGCCGATACTAGTCCTTCGCGGTCTCAACCGCCACCTGCGAAGATACAGATTCAAGATGGTTACTCTGGGTTCCATCATCCCAGCACTACGCAGGGAGAATTGGTTCGCGTCTCTCGATTTACAGGACACATACTTCCACATTCCTATCCATCCAGCTCACAGGAGATTTCTGCGGTTTACCGTCGGAGACGACCATTACCAATATGCGGTCCTTCCCTTCGGCCTATCCGCAGCTCCGAGAGTATTTTCAAAGACCATGGCAGTCGTAGCGGCGTACCTCCGTCGAGCGGGCATCACCATCTTTCCTTATCTCAACGACTACCTCCTCTCAGCACCTTCGAGAGAACAAGCCAAGACGGCAGTTGCCACTACAAAAGGCATCTTCGAGACCCTTGGTCTAATTATCAATCTGCCAAAATCTACTCTAATTCCGGCCCAGTCCATCGTGTTCATTGGGGCCAGACTAGACTCTGCCACTGCTATGGCGTATCTGCCTACGGACAGAGCCGACACCATTCGAGACCTATCGAATGTCTTGCTTACAGCCCCGAAGGTTCCATACCTTACCTGCCTGAAACTATTGGGACACATGGCCTCTACCACGTACGTCATAACCCATGCTCACCTCCGCATGCGATGTCTGCAACATTGGCTCCTTATAGCCTACAAACCGGGCATTACCAATATCAACAGTTTCACAACCGTCCCTGCCCGGGTCAAGAAATCGCTCTCTTGGTGGGTTCAACCTGCCAATACTCTAGCAGGCGTTCCCTTCCGGGTCCAACCCCCATCCATTCAACTGACCACGGACGCGTCCCTAATAGGCTGGGGGGCACATATGTTACACTATCGGACTCAGGGACTATGGTCCCATCAGGAATCCCTACTCCATATAAACTTCCTGGAGCTCAGGGCAGTTTTCAACGCATGTCGCCACTTCGTCCGCCAGATTCAGGGAACCGCAATACAGGACCTTACGGACAACATATGCACGGTTTACTATATCAACCGGCAAGGCGGGGCCCGGTCCAGGACTTTGTGTGCGGAAGCAGTGCGCCTTTGGAACTGGGCGATTCATCACGAGATCACGCTCACAGCTTCCTATCTCCCCGGCAAAACCAATACGATTGCGGACGCACTCAGCAGATCCTTCCATTCCCAACACGAATGGGAACTCCTTCACTCCGTAGCCCGCGATCTGTTTCAGAGATGGGGTTACCCAGAAATCGACCTCTTTGCCACTCGCGACAACAGGAAGTGCCGCTCTTACTGTTCAAGAGCAGGGATAGGCACCCAATCGATGGGGGATGCCTTCCTACTCAAGTGGGGAACATACCATCTCCTGTATGCTTTTCCCCCAATTCCGCTGATACCCCGAGTAATACAGAAAATACTATCAGACTCGGCGACAGTAATCCTGGTGGCTCCTTTCTGGCCGCGCCAGACTTGGCTCACGCAACTCATGCAGATGTCCGTGTCCAGACCTCAACGTCTTCCACGGATCAACAACTTGATCTCACAACAAAACGGCAACCTTCTCCACCCGGATGTCGACTGGTTGCACCTGACAGCTTGGCTCCTAACTGGCTCCAGGGCCTAGAATTAACCTGCTCCCAAGCGGTCAAGGATGTTCTCGTGCAAAGCAGACGCCACAGC